AGGGAAACATACATGTATATATTCATAAATAAGCTTGACTCACTCTGTAAGCCCACCAAACCACCTGAGGAACTTATTTATAATTCCTTGTGTATTAGCAGACTCATTTACTGGGAGATTTGACAGCTACACAAATGATTGTGGACTAATGAGTTGTCAGCTGTTAGCGGAGTATGAAAACTGCCTGTGTGATCTTTGCCTCGTGTACACAGTAATTTCATAGAATGATTTAAGTTCAAAAAGACCCTTGAGTCCAACTGTAAACCCAACATGGCCAAGTTTGCCACTAAACCATGTCTCTAAGCACCATGTCTACACATCTTTTAAATGCCTTCAGCGATATTGACTCAACCACTTTTCCTGACAACCCTTTTGGTGAAGAAATTTTTCCCAGTATCCAATCTAAACCTCCCCTGGTGCAACTTGAGGCTGTTTCCTCTTGTCCTATTGCTTGCCACTGGGGAAAACAGACCAGCCCCCACCTCAATACAGCCTCCCTTCAGGTAGCTGTAGAGAGCGATAAGGTCTCCCCTGAGCCTCCTCCTCACCAGGCTAAACCCCCCCAGCTCCCTCAGCCGCTCCTCACAGGGCTTGTGCTCCAGACCCTTCCCCAGTTCCGTTGCACTTCTCTGGACACGCTCCAGCACCTCAGTGTCTTTCCTGAAGTGAGGGGCCCAGAACTGAACGCAGGATTCGAGGTGTGGCCTCACCAGTGTGCAGTAGAGGGGGATGATCCCTTCTCTAGTCCTGTGGTCCCCTCCGTTCCTGGTGCAGGCCAGGATGCCATTGGCCTTCTTGGCCACCTGGGCACACTGCTGGCTCATTCAGCTGGCTGTTGACCAACACCCCCGCGTTCTTTTCCCCAGGCCTTCAGTTAATTTAAAGCTCTTTTGCTCCATAAATACGTTTGGGTGGTCAAGTTCTTTATGTGTATGTGCAAGCTGAGTCTTGTGGATGAGATTCATAGTTTCAGCATGATGCAGTTTTTCTGTGTTTATCGGGTTTGTGTGTGTTTGATGTGGCTGTCAGGAAGAGAGGGCTTGCCTGAAACACTGGAATGATTGCTCTGCTTGCGAAGCTATTGTGCCTGAATAGGTTTTCTTTCTCTTTCTTGAAGCATTAAGAAGGGTTAAAGATACAATAATCTTACCCTTGGCCATTCATAACAGAAGAGGAAGAATGGTAACAAGCCCTCTGGTCAGTTTAGGGAATTTACTTCTGTATGGTCTGAATTAACAGTCGTATTGAGATAGATAGCATTACGACAAATGTGGAGGAGATAGGTCACCGTCACTTACAAATTTCTTGAAGGTCTGGGGCTTTAGCAGTCAGCACGTATGAATCATTTTGCATAACACGATCTCAGCCTGCTTCTGTGCTCCTTTTGGTTGGGGAATGTATGAAATGCCAGATGTGTCATTTAACTTATGTTTTAAACTCTCCAAGGGAGCGTGAGAGGGAGCGGCACAGGCATCGTGACAGCAGAAGATCACCATCACCAGACAGATCCTACAAAAAAGATTACAAGAGAGCAGGAAGGTAAGGAAGGTTACATTTGGTCTCTTGCATATGTGAGGCTCTGCATCCACGCATGTGAGTTTTTGTGCATGTATATATTCATACATGCCTGGTTTGAAACTCAGAAAGGATGAGTGTCATTTAAATGTCAGTCATCTCAAGACCTCGCAGAGTTAGAAACAGGAGAAGTGTGGCCAGCAGGTCGAGGGAAGGGATTCTCCCTCTCTGCTCTGCTTTCGTGAGACCCCACCTGGAGTACTGCATCCAGCTGTGGGGCCCCCAACATAAGAAGGATATATACCGGTTGGATTGAGTCCAGAGGAGGGCCACGAAGATGCTCAAAGGACTGGAGCACCTCTCTTGTGAAGAAAGGCTGAGGGAATTGTGCTTGTTCAGCCTGGAGAAGAGAAGGCTCTGGGGAGACCTCATTGCAGCCTTCCAGTACCTGAAGGGGCCTGCAAGGAAGCTGGGGGGAGACTTTTTACCAAGTCCTGTAGTGACAGGACAAGGGGTAATGGGTTTAAACTGAAAGTGGGGAGATTTAGATTGGATATCAGGAAGAAGTTCTTCCCGGAGAAGGTGGTGAGGCACTGGAACAGGTTGCCCAGAGAAGTTGTGGATGCTCCATCCCTGGAAGTGTTCAAGGCCAGGCTGGATGAGGCTTTGAGCAACCTGACCTAGTGGAAGGTGTCCCTTCCCATGGCAGGGGGGTTGGAACTAGATGGTGTTTAAGGTCCCTTCTGATCCAAACCATTCTCTGATTCTGTGTATCTTTGGAGAGGGCTTCACTGCTCTGTCCCAAAGACTTCCTCTGACATCTGCTTCCAGTCTGTGAAGTACCAATATTAAAGTCATTCATACATTTGGAGCAGCTTTTAGGAGCCTTTTTTGTATTGATGTTTAAAAAAACCAAAACCCTTCTGAATTCTGGATAGTTGAAATCATTGCAACATTATTGGCTCTGTAGGCAGAGGCGACAAAAAGAAAAAGTAGTAGTTTTCCTACATTCAGCTCTTGAAAGCATTACTTGAAAGCACACAAGCAGTGTGGCCTCTGTATAATCCTTCTCATAAAACCCTATGTATTAGAACTTGTTTATATTGTAACTTCTAGTTGTGAGTCATGTGCCTTTTAGCTTTTAGTGATGAATTTCTAACTCTGGAACAAAATTTAAAAAACGTCATCTAGAGTGCAAGTAGGAGTTTTTATCTAAAGTGACATATTTTCTTTCTAATTGTTGAATAAGGTTTAAAATACGAAAGCACTTTCAAATTTTTACAGTAGGTCTGAACTACAAAGTACTCTCTTATGTTGCAAGTTAAAAGCAGGAAGAGGCAGTTGGATTTTGCTGTAGTTTATATGATAGGATGATGTACTGATCTGAAGCAAACTATTTGTTTTTCATTATAAAGCTATCACTGTTAAAATAGTAAGGAAAACTGTGTTTGTTTGCCTTCTCCCACTAAGCCGGTCTCCAAGCAGAGAGAGAAAGAGACCCCGTTGGGAGGAGGACAGAGAAAGGTGGTCTGAGAACCAGAACTCCAGCAAAGAGAAAAGTTACACCACTATCAAAGACAAAGAATCAGAGGAGAATGCATCTGAAAAAAATGAAGAGGAAGATGAGGAATTACTTAAGCCAGTCTGGGTTCGCTGTACCCATTCTGAGAGCTATTATTCCAATGACCCTATGGATCAAGTGGTATGTTTTGGAGGGGACTTAAAATTATGCATTCCTTTATCAGTTACTTGATAACTATGAACCCTTCAGCAGGTTTTTAGCAGGATCATGCATTGTGTCACTTAATCCTTGTCTCCTCCCAACCATCTCAGTCTTTTAACCATGTTAAGGGCTTGCTTTGTTGGTATTCTCAGTTTTCCTCAGTTTCTTCTGTCTGTTTTCATTCAGATTCATGGAAGAGGGGTACTTTTTTGTTTCCAGGGGGGAAGGGTGGGTTTTTTCTTTTTCTCCATTATATCTGTATTTGAGTAAAGATGCCTCAATCACCATCTATTCCCAAAACCTTGGAAAAGTTTTGTACAGGAGCAGGATTCTTTGTACTTGACAATTACTCTTGCTAGTGGAGTAGTGGTAGAGGAGGGGAGTTTTCTGGATTGGGTGTTTTTTTTGGGTTTTGTAGGTTGGTTGTGTGTTTTTTTGAGGATGACATGGAGAGTGAATTCATGGTGATTCAAAGTAGGCAATAAAATGAGTTGAGCTTTGTGTTTCTTGTGTGCTTGATAAAGTTCTTTTTAATTGCAAAATAATTCCACAGGTTTCTTGTTTCTTCTAAGCCTGATAAAAAATCAGTGCTGAGCTGTACTAAATATGCTTAGCCATAGTTCTGCTGTGTTGGGCGAAAGGTTTGATGATAATACACCAGCAAATGAAGTAATTTCTCTGCTAATTCAGCTGGTGGAGCCATGTAATGGTATACTACAGCCTTAACAAGTATTTCCATGTTGCACTGAACTACACTGAGATCTCTCTTTTTCCGCCCTCTTGCTTTTCACCATGAATTGCCGGTGCGTGTTGTGTTCATGTGCTATTTCAACATTGTTAGGTTTTGTTGTTACTGTTCTGTTTTTGATTTTTTTTTTTTTTTTAATTAACAGGGGGACTCTACTGTGGTAGGAACAAGCAAGCTCCGAGATCTTTATGAAAAGTTTGATGAGGAGTTAGGAAAGCGACAGGCAAGGGCCAAAGCAGCCAGGCCACCTTGGGAGCCACCGAAGACCAAGCTGGATGAAGATTTAGGTAGGTAGAACTGGTGACAAAGCTCTGAAATGGAGTAATCTGTAGTTAACGTGTTGTGGGCACTTGTATGTTTAATAACGTTGATAGGTTAGTAATGTATTTTTCAAATCCTTCCTTTCTGTTGCATATCCATGGGAGTTTTACTGTTGCTTTTGGCTGAAGTAGAGCTAGATTTTTTACCCAGAAAGCCTAAGGCAAAATGGAGAGTAACCAGCACTGCTTTAGGCTAAAGTCTCTTCCATGGCATGAAAGCACCCTAAGCATGATCAGATAGGCCAAAGCATGACACACAAGAAACTTTGAGGAGCTCCTGGTCTTACATTTCTAAAAAGGAAGCAAGAGTAGTGGTGATAAACTCATATGGCTGCTTGTTATGGCACTGAGTTCATCTCTCTTCTGGATTGTATTTTGGTTGTGCAACTCTGCGTATTGTGCTCTTCTGCAGAGGTATTAGTTTTTGAAACTTTGTCTATCTGCATTGTCATGCACCACCCATATGGATCTTCTTGCAGTGAAATAAGTCTGCTAGCTGTATCAGTTACTGGGGAAGTACTGGTTGGATTAGCAGGGCATACGTTTTGATAGCAATTCGTCTACTCGTAAGTCAGTGAAAGCTGTTTTTCTTATTTTGTTTTGCGAGAACTGTTAGCTGTTCCTATAATTCCAGCATTTCAGTGTTTCACAGTGTGTTCTTCAGTCAGTTGCATTAGTGCAAGAAATTCTTAGGCATATCACACTAATTTAGATGCTCTGCTGGGCTTGCCTTTTAACTGATGCATCATGTTTGCCAGTTGCGCTGCTTCAGACTCCTGTCTGAGCTTAGTAACGCTTTAAAAATTACATATCAAGAAATCTGAAGTTGAAATACAGGTGTATAAGGACATAGACGGTTACACGCTGGCAGTATAAAAGGATAAAGAGGAAAGAAAAAATAAACATTAAATAAAATATGAAATCACTTTTGTAAAGGAAACAACTTTTTATGGGTTTTTTTTTTGAACAGTGGATTTGAGCATATTTAAATTCACTCAAGAATCACTAGCAAAGTAGGGTGTTTTCAGGAGGCATGTTTTCATGTGATGAAGTGAGGACAAAACTGCTACACTAAACTTACCTGTGTAAAGCTTCACTTCCTCGGGTCTCTGCAGAAAGCCTTCCTTTGCTGCTCCAGGCTGGGCTAAAATATGATAGGGCCAAAAGCAACTTATCTGTGTTTGACTTTCCACTCTTTTCTGGAGGACCCCAAGGCCCTGCTTCTGCACTGGTCACCTGGGCTGATTTAGTGTCTGTGCTGGCTTATCCTACAGCCATGCTTCTGTAGTGTCTGTCTTATTTTGTACTTAAGTCAATGCTGCCTCTGTTCTGCCTTGTGTTAGCAGTAACTGTGTGCTGTAGTGAGACAGCAGGGCACTGCAGGACCACTGAAAGGTCATGAAAGGCTGATTTCACTACATGAAATCCAGAAGTCATGCATTGATCTTTCAGACCCCCAGCTTACTCTCAGAGGTCCCACACACCTTTTACACCTAAAATGAGACTTATACAACTGATTAATGTTCATCAAAGAACTTTTAGAAGTCAAGTGTTTGTGAATATTTGTAGAAATATACATATGTGCTCATTTAGACAAAACTTGATTTCAGCTGACCGTGTATGACCTATGTAAACCACATGTCCCTAGGGCATATCTTAGTAACATCTTATGCTGAGTTACAGACTGTATGAAAGTGAATCTTGATTTAAAAAAAAATAAAATCATAGTTTACTAATAATATTATATCATTTTCCCTCTCTCCCTTAACTAAGGAAAGTCTTGTATTTACTAAATACACATATTTTAAAGCACAGTTTCACAATATTTCAAAGCACTGGCAGTGTGGTAACATGTTTTTTCTTAAGTCAAAACTTTGAAATGAAAGAAACGTTGCATCCCTCTTTCCAAGAATAATAAACCTGACTTGTGTCATGGTATCTGTCTTGGCTATGGAGACATTTATTTAAATTGCAGCTAAGGAGGTCTGTGGAAATGAGTGAATGACATGCATAAGAAAGGGAGTCGCTTTAAGTACACGGGAAGTTGGTGTTATGAAAGATCGGGCTCTGGGCTTTATTTCTTTATTTATTTATTGTTAAGTCCAGACACTTATTAACTTCACTTTGACAACACCACAAAGAAGAGATTTTACCAAGTCTAGGGCCGCCTTACTTTTTTTTTTTTTCCGTTAGCATTGTTCTACCTTCTTCCCAATTGAAACATTGAAAAAATGTTTCAATTAATACGAAGGAAAATGTCTTAGAAACAGTCTGTCAGGAAAACTCACATAACAGGGCTTCCAAAAAAAACTTAGGGCTGGATTCACTCAGCTTGTAGTTTCAGGTTTTCTTCTTGTGTGTGGTTTCATCCGTATATGATAATGGATTTGTTAGAAATAATTGATTTTGAAAACTGAATCTAACGGTACATGTCCTGTCATAATTCTGTATGTGTGTGTTGGTTTGAAACTCTTAAACAGACAGTGTCCTGCTACAGCCGGGAGTGTTTTTAGGTAAAACGGAACTATGCATAAACACTTTTCTCACGGCAAGCAGAATTAGCTTTTAAAAAAGAAGTTCTATTTAGCTCATGCTGGTGACCTCGTGTATTCTTCTGCTTTGCTCTCTCACTCTCTTCTTTTTTTTTTTTAACTTCATGGTAGTACTTGGGTTGGTTATAGCTCTGTGATCCTTAATGTCAAGTAACTGAAATGGTTCTTCTACACCTGATCAGTGGTGCTCCTGGGCAGCCAAACAGCAGTCTCTCATGCACACCAACAGATGCGGTTGTAGGAGGCATTTAATATCCATAGCGTTTTCTGCCATTTTTAATTAAAAGTACAGTTGCTGTCCCTCTTTTCGATAGTGTGAATGGCAACTTCAGTAGCTTTCAGTATGCCGCAGTGAGCTGTCTCACGTTAGGGGATGCACTGCTACTGGAGAGGAGTGTATGTGGAAGTGTGTTTCAGCTGATGCTGTCTTCCCTGTGTTTCAGAGAGCTCCAGTGACTCAGACTGTGACTCTGAAGATGACAGCAGCTGCTCGAGCAGTTCAGATTCGGAAGTTTTTGACGTCATTGCAGAAATTAAGCGTAAAAAAGCACACCCTGATCGTCTCCATGAAGAGCTGTGGTACAATGATCCAGGGCAGGTACGGTGAGAGATAAAAATACTGTGTGTCTGAAAGTCATTCTCCCCTATAGACCTAAAATTCTGCATTTTTGTCAAAAATGCTGAGTAACATCTATTTCAATATACTTTTTTTACCCTGTCTTTTCCCTTTTCTTGCTCATCCTCTCCAAAGCACTTTACTTTTGATTTCAAGATTGTGGTTCCAGCTCATGAATCTGGGGATTATTCAGCTGGAATCATGTCTGACAGCGTTAATAAAACCTAAATTGCTAACGGTGTACTAATGCTGTCCTCTTAGCCCTGAGATAAAGGTACACAGATGAATTCTGGGATGGAGAAAAGGCAGCATGTTTACCTCCTTTACAAATTTTTCACTTAAAAGCTCTCAGCTCATAATGATAAATAACGTTTTAAATATGCAGTTAATGCTCCTAATTTCTTGTCTAATGGTTCTTTTGTAATTGCATGGAGATTATAGTTCTCATTAAATGTAATTGCTGAGCCCATGAAGTGTTGTATTGAATTTATATGTTGCACAGAAGACTAGTTTTTGTTTGCAAATTTGCCATCTTCATTTTTCTTACTTAAGTATTTTACTTAAATACTTGACAGTCTATTCTAACTCATCGTGAAATGACACCTCAGTAAATTTATTTTTCTGGCACTTTGTGTGATGCATGAGTTTAGCGTGCAACAAATCACAATGCCAAGAGATACTGCAATGCTTATTGCTACTGTGGTAATTCAAAGATCAGTTGAATATTCTATTACAGACTCATATTTATGCTTCTAGTTAAAAAAAAAATACTGAGCATAGCTAGCTGCTTTTATTTGTATGGAAAACAAAATTAGTGAACTGTTTAGATATTTAACCGAAAAAATTGTGTAGCTCTTGGGCACACTTCAAAGTAATGTTCCCGAACAGAATATTGGCTAAATGAAAAGAAGTGGAATAAATGGAAGATGAATAGATTCAGGAATGTATTTCCTCCTGAAAAACTTTCTTTCCCAAAAACTTCCTTGAGTCTGACTCTTCGTCTTTCTTGAAGGGTCTGAAATCAGATCATGGTGAACTTGTCAGCACTGTACTACTTCTGAGTAGATTTTATTTGAAAACGGTTGAAGTTTTCCTAGGTATTTATCTGGTATGTCAAAATGCTTTCTAACCATCACTACACAAACCAGGAATGATTGCTGTGCACACTGGCACGTACATGTACACTGGCTGACATGGAACCAGATTTGTAGGATGGATCTTCCCAACCCTTCACTCTGTGCAGTGTAGTTTTTCCTTTAATAATCTCCAGCAGTGCTGGCAGTTGCCAGAAAATAAATTGTGGCCACAGTGGCCTTCTCCTTGCAGGTGTTACATGCTGCATTGTGTTGCTCTGTTGGTCAGAGAAAGTTAGAAGCCATGGCCTTAGTTTATGTAAAAATGGGATCTTTCAACATCATTTTATCATTTCACAATTGCTCTGTGCATTTGTGATGCATTGTGATGATTAATTTAATAGCCTCAGTAGGCCCTTATTTTTTGGGGAACGATGAGCAATTTGCTGTTGACTGCATTTTTTAACCCTTGTGTTTTGTGGCTGCGTAAGCCATTCAGGAAGTATCCTTTTACCTTTAAGCATGGTTGAATGTCGTTGAACCTGTATTTTCCTGGGACTGTCTCAGAGTGTGAAAAAAAGTGTATGAACAAAAAGCAGTCATGTCACTCTGTGGTTAGGATGGCAGGACAGAGTTCCCAAAGGAGCCCAGAAGTGCTCTACTTGTTATGTTCCTTTGCGTGTGTGCATTGTGCAAGGTTGTCGGGTTTTTTTGAAGCCTAAAAGAAAAAGTTTCAGTTCTTGGATTCAGGCAAGCTTTAGGGTATTGTGGTAATCGATAGTCTTCATTGAACTTGTTCATGAAAGTGAAAAGGCACTAGCTTTATACTGTCTGTAATGGCCCTTTTTGGTCTAGCTGCTTGATGAACCCATGCAGAATACTGAAGTGGATGCTTTTCCCCCCCCCTTCCTCTTTTTTACTGATCTGCTCACAGGATGGATCTGAAGTGTTCCCATTACTTCTGTAAAGTACCAAGTAAAATCTTGAAATGGTCTGCTTTGCATAGTTGGGGTGATAGCTTTGCCACATAGCTGGAGGATTAATCAGGGATGGGATTTCAGTCAGTGAACTGTGTGGAACTGTTTGAATGTTGAGATTTTTGCATGTAAATACTTACATGTGCATGTTCAGGGCCTGGATTTCTTTTTAAGCAGACAGTGAGCTGTTGTATTTATAAGGAATGGAAAAGAAGTAAATGATAGTAGAGTGGTACAGTTCTGCTGAGAGTTTTTTTCCATGTGCTTCTGAAACAGTGATGAAGTTCTAATGTAAGAAAACTGCACATAGCATTAATCTATACTGTTTTCAGTTTTATTGGCTTAAGAACATCCACTTAATCTAAGCATGACAGGCTTTTAGAAGCATCAGTGCTCCGGGCATTAAAACCAACATACTTTTCCAAAGCTATTTTTCAATAAAAATAGAATCTGATTCTGCTTTTGACAGATGAATGATGGACCTTTGTGCAAGTGCAGCGCTAAAGCCCGCCGAACGGGAATAAGGCATGGCATTTATCCTGGTGAAGAGGTAAGTAATTCCAAGAATTGCAATTATGAATACAAACTTGCTGCCGTAAACTCATGCTTGGGTTGATTTGAGGGGTTTTTCCCGTGATTTGCAGGCTGAGTGGAAACTCCTGTGCAACTAAATCACTGAGTTGTGTAACATTGTACTTAAAACAGAGTACTGGTAATGCAATCCACCGGAAAACTATGAAAAACGTTGTCCTGTATTTGTTTGGTTCTAGTTTGGTTTATTTTTTTTAAGTTTCTGAAATACAAGTACGTTCATAAAAAATAACTTGTGATCAAAGATCTACCATCTTCAAGTGGAAGAATATGTTATGAGGGCCCTCTTTGTGAAAGGATTGCTTTAACAGTAAAAGAAAAAGTAAGTAAAATAGTAATTCTGCTGCTGACAGGAGCAGGAAGCTTGTCAGGTGTTCTTGCCTTAGGACTATAGCATGTCTGCACTGCAAACTGTCAAACGTTTTGTTAAGGTCTTTATGAATATGTGATTCGAGAAAATGACTGAAAGCTTCCTGAAACACATTTTAGAATGATAGTGCCTTTCTTTTGAAAAATGTTTTTGAAATAGTATTTGGTTGTTTTCTTTAGAAATACCAATTTGTACAGAACATGCTTTGTGATGAATATTGTTTCTGAGAATAAAAGATTGCTTGGACCGCCCCCAACTTTGTCATTCTAAAAAAAAGTTGTTTGAAAGAATTTGAGAACATTAATATGTAGCTTTTACAATTTACATTTGTAATTTTTCTTGAATAATTTCATTTTTTAATATGTGTTTTTATATATATTTACTGAAGCATTCTTTTATTTCTCTGCAGTAAAGGATTTGTGAATGTTTCTGTGAGTTATTCCATTTCTGAAAAATGGCTTTGGTCTGAAGCTTATCGTAAATCACTCCAGTTCATGATCAGTTCCTCCTCACATTATCTCTAGTGCTTTCCTTGCAGAGGAGGAGGGAGAAAATTTTAGCAGGACAAAACTGATATATAAAACTTGCTGCATGAAGGCAGCTTCTCCCTGGATCGAGGCCAGCGGGGAATTTGAGGTTTCAGAAGATCTCCTAGGATATACTAGTTTTTACAGTGTCCTGTGGATAAACTTCCCTACGTTTAAAGTAGCTGGTTTGTTACTGTCTTGTTGCAGCAGTGCAAAGCTTAGTTTAGGGCTGAACAGCCAGAGTAATCGCCCTGCCTATGGGATGGGTTTTGCAAAGTGCGCAGAGCTGCGCGGCGCTGTAGCTGTGCTGCCGTTGCGGTCAGACCTACTTTGGTAGCCCTGTTTAGAGAAGTACTCCGCTTGCTGCGGTGTTGGTTTTCCAAGCAGACAGATGTACCAGATCTGAACTGCAGAAAATTGGATGTAGGACATATGTGAGACACTGGTTTTGTCTGACTGCTGAGGATTTTTAGGTCTGGACTGCTTCGGAACCAGCTGGAAGAAAATACAAATCCTGGGTGTTTGGTGTTGCATCAGAGTGCACGGAGGGATGGACTGCTGCCTTTGGACCTCGCAGGCAGGCATTACAGCCTGGCAGACAGTGCAGGGTCAGCAGACCTGCCTCCCTGGTGATAGACTAATCCCGCCTCTTCAGGCCCCAGATTTGCCCCAAGGAGATGAGCTGATACCTGTCTGTCTTGGTAACAGACTTGGAGATCTTCTCATGTGAGGTCCAGGTTCCTTTTTGCAAGCTTTTAAAATCGGTTTCCTGAAACAAATTTATACAAAAGAAGGAATTAGTCTGGTACGTAAACGACTAGCTGCTGTGTGTAAGAAAGATGGAGACTCAAATTGAAAATGAAAAAATTACAGCAATGTTTTTCACCTTCTTTTCCTTTTGAGTATCTTTAAAATATTTCTGAAAGTGAAAATACAGATAAGGCCACACTTTCCCTCTTCCCAGAATGCTTAATTATGACTACCTGCTTTTATTTAATTTTTCCTAGTGCGTATTTCATGGCTATTAGAAATGCTTTATTCTCTCTTTTAATCTAAATTTGCCTTGACTCTACACATAATTCTACTTATCTCTTTCTTTAAGCCCATTAAACCATGTCGCCCCATGACCAACAATGCCGGAAGACTGTACCACTATCGAATTACGGTGTCACCTCCCACAAACTTCTTGGTAAGTACTTTATAAATAGTTCTAACTAGGACTCTAATTTTGTTTTCAGTGATGGAAGTAGTACTGCTTCTTGCTTACTCTGTGGTGGTTTTGTTTGATTTTTTTTTTTTAGACAGACAGACCTACCGTTATTGAGTACGATGACCATGAATACATCTTCGAAGGGTTCTCAATGCTTGCACATGCCCCACTAACAAACGTAAGTATGTTCATTCCTACATACATGGGATTTGTTCGGAAGGTAAGCTGTGTTTCTCCCCTGAAGTGGAACTTCTCTAAAACAATGTTACAAACATCTTGCCAGCACTGGGGACAGTGGAAAGATTTGTGCTAATAAATCTCAGGTTTTGTCTTGACTCATTGTGGTAAGCATTGTCTTCAAACTGTGACCGAGACTGTGATGTGCATCTGAGTGATGTTTGAAAGTGAAATAAACCATGGAATAACTTGATAAAACTGTTAGTTGGATTTAAATTGGAGGTTTCTTAAGTTGGAAAAGTTTAAAACAAACAAACAAACAAAAAAACAACAGCAACAACAAAAAAATAGTTTCCCTTTAGGTGACAAAGGGACTTCTTTTAGGGATTCACTCTAAAGGGATTTCTCTGTTCTAAAAACTAACCTAGACATATTCGCTACTTTCTAACATGTCTTCAACTTCTTCAGGAACTAGACAAGTTAGGGTTTTTATTTAAAGTTGTAGGTATTTAAAGGCAAATAATTCTAAGCTTTGAAAGCAGATATATCAAAAAGAGGACGTTGCTAGTACCTGACTGCCCTGCTTTTCCAATATAAGCCGGTAGCCATATCTGAATGAAAAATATGCAAATACCTAATTTCTGTCCACTTGAAGATTTTTTGGTATCTTGTTATTTCAAGAACTGTTTTTTCAAATGCTGTAGTGTTTGTTTCCTTGGCTTTACACCTATTACTACCTACACCACCAATGCCAAAACCCAGTGTAGGAATGATTGTCAGTACAGGACTGGGATATAAGAATACTGGAACTGAGAAGCACTGAGAAGAAAGTATTTTTTTTCCTGACAGTTTGCTTACATAATGTGTATGACAATGTTTTACTTCTGCTGAGCAGGGGACGGGACTCTTCTTGACAAAAAGTCAGTGGGAGAGGAGAGGTCAGCCTGTGGTGTGGCAGGGGGAAGCACTCCTGCCTGGTGTTGTTAACTCGGCCTTGGGCTTCAAGGCAGGCTTGTCCCCAGGCTTTACGTTTTCACTTTGCAAGTGAGCACAAAAGAAACAGTTTTATTTTACTCCCATTAAAAGGATAGAGAAACCACCTTATCTTTATAATTTTTGTGTCTGCTGCATGACAGGAAGGCAGAGAGTTATGGAAATCTTTCCTATACAGAGAACAAGGAAAATTCTTGTCTGACATGAATAGTTAGTGAAGACATTGAGCTTATGCTTACTGCAAAATGCATGTATTTTTTTTCTCATTCCAAATAAGTGAAGTCATCATCAGTGAATGATTATTTTTTTACAGAGTTGAATGCAAAGCAACACTATTGTCAGTTCCTGTTACTAACAGGTATAAAGTCTCTTGGAAGGAGTCTCTTGCTGTCTTGGGGTGATTTTTGGCAACATAAAAACTGCTGTTCGAGAGACATTTTGGAACATATTTGATAAAAGGGAGGTGGCAAAAGGTAGCAAAAATAGAAATCCAAACACCAACATCTTTAGATGAGCCCAATTTCTACAATTTGAAGTATTAGCTTTGCACACTGTTAGGAGTCTTATTTCTGTTATTATTCTTACTCAGTAATAATTGAGCGAGTCAGATATTAGGGAAAATGGTTAGTACAGTCAAGATAAATTATAAATCGGTCAATATAACTACCAATTTTGTAGTACCGACCACATGTTCCTTTGCTATGTATTTGCTTGTGTACATGAAACTCTAATTCATGGAGAATTTGGTCGTGGTCTCTTAAATAAAGCATTCATTTTCTATTCAAAACAAAGGAAAATATCCCAGGCTACTGAGTTTCTGAATCAGAATTTCCTTTCCTGATTGAACTTACATGTTAGAAAGTAAGCAAACACCCCGTGTGTGTGTATATATATTCCATAACATGCCCGCCCTGCCCCCCTCCCCTCAAAAAAAGCCGTGATGATTTAAATGTGGCAGGTTTTCTTCTCCTCAGATACTAAATGGAAAATTTGGTTTCCAAGTTTTTTTTATTCTTGTATTCACAAATAATGTTGTATTGAAAATTGTAGAAAATGCAATTTTTAGTTTGGTAGCTTGGTGCAGCTCCGTAGTTTATCATGCAGATATCAACAGATTGTTGTAGACAAAATAGTCAAATGTTTGACAGTGGGCTGCAAGAAGATTCAAGCAGAATTTTGCACCTCTGCTAAGTCTGTTATCTTCAGTGCAACCCGAGGACCATTCAGATATTTGTGTGCTTATCAATGCAAAATAACCTTGGGTTGCCTCGCTTTCACAGACAACTGAATTGTTCTGAGATTCCTTTGTGCTTGCAAGGCCAGTGAATAGTAAAACTTCCTAAGAGCTGTGAATGTGTAGGCTTGGATTAAGCATTTCTGTAGGCTTTTAGAAATTCAGCTTTTTTGCTTTAAGAAAAAATCCTATTAAGAAAAACTAAACAAACACACACCTTCGACAGTCCATGGACTTTGCAAACAAAGAAACCTTTTTTCAAAGGTGAAAAAAAGGAATTAGATGCTTATCTTACTAGTTAGTTGAGTGAACTTCTAAGTATATTAGATGAAATTAGTATAAGCCTATAAATTTATCCTGAAGTTCTTACATTATATTGCCATGACTTAAAATCATACTTTAAGACAGTATAGCTAAGAGAATTGACAGTGTGCTAAAACCACCTTGCCTTCAGTTCACTGTATCAGTCTGACATCTTGTGTCACCAACAATAAATTCACTTCCACATATACAAGTGAGAGAAGATACAGGTTTACTGAGCTTTGCTTTTTCTTCTGAACAAAATTTAACCTCCAGTAGATGGCATTATTAAATCTTCCTTCACCATCCCTCCTGTCAGCCCTGTGTTATTATAGAGGTGAAGGTTAGAACTGTTACTTCTCTTGCACATGCTCGTGTTCCTGTCTTTGCATGATCCCCCAGAGCAGCTGTTTCGGTAAGTGCCCTTTTCAACAGACAGTATTACCTATGCATACAAAGTTGTATTCACTATACATTTGATGCTGTATAGTTTTTCATGCTGAATTTCTATTTTCCTTCCAGATTCCTCTATGTAAAGTAATCAGATTTAACATTGACTATACAATTCATTTCATTGAGGAGATGATGCCTGAGGTAAGAAGGATAAGTAGCCAAAAAGTCAAAGTGAGTTTTATGTTGTTGATATGCTTAATGGATTAAACCCTTCAGAATTCCGTCTTGTGAAGTCTCTAAGAGACAGGCTGTATTCTGAAAGAATGGCTGAAAAGGAGCTTGCACTCGCAGGTACTGGCATAAATCCACCCACCTAGGCTATCATATACTAAAATCAAATAGTAAGAAGTGCTTATATCCACAGCTTCTTTTCACTTTAGTTATATACAATACATGTCAGGTACTCTGTAAGCTGAGTTAGGCATTACCCTTCTTTTATGGATATGACAAAAATAAGGCATGTGGAGGTCCGCACGGTCTACCCCAGCGGTGGCCAAGGCCTCCACCCAGACGGAGCTGCTGAAGGGAGAGGCTGCAGTGCAGACCTTGGGCTGCAGAAGTGCCCAGACCTTTCTCCTGGGGCAGGCACAAGGTGTGCCTGGGTGAAGAACCTCCCGCAGCATGTGGCTGAGCTGCAGGAGGCGGCGAGAAGGCTGCGTAACATCAGGGAGACCGAGGAGACAGCTGGTTCACCGTGCAGTCTGCAGTACACCCACAGCCCATGGCCAAACAGCCACAGACTCCCACACTAGCTCACACAGAAGGAGGGCCAGTAATGCAGAAGAATGAACGGCTTCAGTGGCAAGACAGAATATCAGAAGGATATTGACCACTTGGAGCGAGTCCAGAGGAGGGCCATGAAGATGATCAGAGGGCTGGAGCACCTCTGCTATGACGAAAGGCTGCAAGAATTGGGCTTGTTCAGCCTGGAGAAGAGGAGGCTCCGAGGAGACCTCATTGCAGCTTTCCAGTATCTGAAGGGGGCCTACAGGGGTGCTGGGAGAGGACTTTTTACAAGAGCCTGTAGTGATAGGACAAGGGGTAATGGGTGCAAATTGAAATCAGGGAGGTTTAGATTAGATATCAGGAAGAAATTCTTCACTGAGAGGGTGGTGAGGCACTGGGACAGGTTGCCCAGAGATGTTGTGCATGCCCCATCCCTGGATGTCTTCAAAGCCAGGCTGGATGAGGCTTTGAGCAACCTGGTCTAGGGCAAGGTGTCCCTGCCCATGGCAGGGTGGTTGGAACTAGATCTTTAAGGTCCCTTCCAACCCAAACCATTCTATTATTCTATGATTCTAAGACTGGCACATGGAAGAGACTTCCCCCAGAGCCTGACGTGCCTTTGCAGAACTGCTTCCCCTCTCTGCAGACTGAAGAGGAAAGGCCTATCGCATCAGGAGAGATGCTGGAGCTGGGTAAGGCAGCGCCATCTGATCCCCGTACAACAACCAGTGTAACTAAGAAAAGGCGAGGGGTGATGGCAGTAGGGGACTGTCTTCCGAGAGGTACAGTCTCACCTGTTTTCTGACCTGACACACTCCGGAGAGGTGTGCTACTTACTGGGGGCTCGTATCAGGGGTGTCACTGACCGACTGCCAAGCCTCGTACAGTCCACTGGCTTATAATCCGCTGCTGCTGTTTCACATGGTCACCAGTGATACATCCAGGACCAGTCTCAGAAGTATCAAGAAGGATTACAGAGCCCTGGGAGCAGTGATAAGGAACTCTGAGGCACAGGATGTCTCCTCATCAGTCCTCCCAGTAAAAGGGAGGTGGTTTGAAAGGGCCAGTCAAATCTGCAAATCAGCAAACGGTTACAAGACTGATGCCACAGCCAGGAGTTCAGCTACTCAGACCATGGGACTTACTTAGAGAAACCTGATCTGCTGGGGACTGATGACATGCATTTTTCAGGGAAAGGGAAGAGCATCTTTGGTCGTAGGCTTGCCAAGTGGGTGAAGAGGACTTTAAACAAAAGATGGACTTTAAACAAAAGACTCAATCCATCACAGTCCTACCAGTTTGATGCCAGTGCCTGAAATAGATGACCAGAGCCTGGAGAAGAATCGCAGGTCAGCAGGAGGGCACCTGAAAAGCAGCACAAAGGAATTCCAGTCACTCCAGACAGTAAGTCAGCTTCATCCAGGGCCCAATTTAAATGGCATGTAACATAGGGAATGAGAGGAGTTAGAGACATGCGCACACCTGCAGGGCTATGATCTTATTGTCATCACAGAGATGTGGTGGAATGGCTTCTATTACTGGAGCATTGGAAAGGAGGGATACAGGCCCTTTAGGAAGGACAGGCAGGGGAGGTGAGGAGAGGGTGTCACCCTCTATCTCAGTAATCATTTGGAGTGCAGGGAGCTCTGCCTGAGGATGGATGAGGAGGCAACTGAGAGCTTATGGTCAGGATTAAAGGAAGAGCCAAGAGAGGTGACATTTGGGAGGGGGGAAGGGTGTCTGTCACAGGCCACCCAATCAGGAAGACCGAGCAGATGAGGCCCTCTACAGACAAGATAGGAGCAGCCTCACATTCACAAGTCCTGGTCCTCATGGGGGACTTCAATCACCGCGTTATCTGTTGGAGGGACAGCATGGCAGGGCATAAACAATCCAGTAGGTTCCTGGAATGCACTGATGATAACTTTCTTCTCCAAGTCATGGAAGAGCCAACAAGGAAGAGGTGCTGTGCTGGACCTTGTTCTTACCAGCAAGTAGGGGCTGATGGGAGATGTGAAGCTCAAAGGCAGCCTTGGCTGTGGTGACCCTGAACTGGTGGAGTTCAAGATTCTTAGGGCAGTTAGCACGGTGCACAGCAAGCTCTCTGCCTTGGGCTTCAGGAGAGCAGAATTTGGCCTCCTCAGGGATCTGCTTCCTAGACTACTACGGGATAAAGCCCTTGAGGGAAAAGGGACCCAAGAAAGCTGGTTAATATTCAAAGATCACCTTCAAACTCAGGAATGATGCATCTTAACAAAGGAGAAGTCAGGTAAGAATGCCAGGAGGCCAGCATGGATAAACAAGGAGCTTCTGAACAAACTCAGACAGAGAAGGGAAGCCTACAGAGGGTGGAAGCAAGGACAAGAAGCCCAGGAGGAAACAGAGAAATTGTTCGAGCATCCAGGGATCAGGTTAGGGAAGCTAAAACCCTGATAGAATTAAATCTAGCCAGAGACATCAAGTTCAACAAGAAAAGCTTCTATAGGTACATCAGTGATAAAAGGAAGACTAAGGAAAATGGGGGGGCCTCTCCAGAGTAAGGCAGGAGACCTGGTTACCCAGGATATGGAGAAGGCTGAGGTACTCAATGACTTTGCCTCGCTCTTCACCACCAAGTGCTCAAGCCACACCATCCAGGTCACAGAAGGCAAAGGCAGGGACTGGGAGAATGGAGAACCACCCACTGAAGAAACACCAGGTTTGAGACCATCTAAGGAGCCTGAAGGTACTCAAGTTTATGAGACCTGATGAGATGCATCCACAGTCCCTGCCCATGTCAGGGAGGTTGGAACTAGATGATCTTTAAGGTCCCTTCAAACCCCAAACATTCCATGATTCTATGACTTGTTGCCAGGTCAGTGGCAGAGCTGAAATTTAATCATGAATTTGAAGCTCTGAAGATTGCTTATCAGTACTTAATATAAGATGTTGCCAAAACAAATTTCCTGTGGATACAAACAAGCACATCCAGTTCATAATCTGTTGGGTTTTTTTTAATACAAATTAATCTCAGGTGATGCCACTTTGTGAAGTAAATTGCTGCAGTGGAACAGCATGTGTAGGTACAGAAACACCCCTGCATATTAACTACAACGATAGGATCAGTGTTTAATTTAGTCACATATATTTACGCTTTTCTTTCTTGTTAGCTCTTTTTTTGTTACTTAACAGCATCTAAATATATGCAAGAGCCCTGAAATTCCTCAGCGAGATTAATGTGATCAAAGGAATTAATTTTCTGTTAGTGAATCTGCTGCGTTGTCTCTGCATCTTGTGCTAAAATACCAAATAGCCACCAAGCAAAATAGGGAATTGGACTTGTTTTTTGACTCCTGGCGAATGGCTACAGCGGTTGGCTACAGCAACCGTCTTTACTAATGCTTTCTTGCAAAGAGATTGTGTTGATGGGTTTGGAATTCATGGCTGATACCATATACGTGCAATTTATAGCTGATGTCATATACATGCAACAGGCCACTGTGCTACATGTTTAAGTTGAAAGCGGGGAGGTTTAGATTAGATATCAGGAAGAAATTCTTCACAGAGAGGGTGGTGAGGCACTGGAACAGGTTGCCCAGAGAAGCTGTGGATGCCCCATCCCTGGAAGTGTTCAAGGCCAGGCTGGATGAGGCTTTGAGCAACCTGGTCTAGCGCAAGGTGTCCCTGCCCATGGCAGGGGGGTTGGAATGAGGTGATCTTTTAGGTCCCTTCCAACCCAAACTGTTCTGTGACTCTGTTACTCTAGATGATTACAGACATATCAATACTGTTTCCAAAGCCCAGTGTCCAGTGTTTGCTAAACTTCTTTAATTATTTTATTTAACTGTATGTTAGTAGCATTATTTGTATTGTATTTATTATAGTATAGTTCTGGTTTGTTTTTTCTTTCCCCAGAATTTTTGTGTGAGAGGTCTCGAGCTGTTCTCTTCTTATCTATTCAAAGATATTTTGGAGCTCTATGACTGGAATCTTAAAGGTAAATTTTATTTAGGGGTAAAACATACACAAAACCCAAGTAATTTCAGCTTTTGTAAATAGGACTCTGTTTTAATATGTTCTTTGGCTTAAAAAGAAGAAAGTGGAGAGGGGCCTCAAAAGAACAAAGTTAAATTTTGTTTTACATGAGAGGGTTAAACTTCTAATTTGTTCTCAAGAAGATAAAATATATTGGAGTTCATTAGTGTGGGTTGTAGCAATTAAAATGCACAAACTTGTCACTGTATTCTCGCAGATAAACTAAATTTCTTCCTTAATCCAAAACTGTTCTTTTTAATGAAACAGTAAATATTACTGTATGTTTAATACTGCACATTATCGTGTGCATGGTATTTTCAAAGCCAAGGTGTCAGGTCTCTGTTTCAGACAAGTTACCCACACATTATTTCTCTACAGTTAACTTACAAAGGAGTGACACACAGGCAGACATAGAGGGATAACATCATTATAGCTGAATGTTTTTGGCTTGACAAGATGAAAACACACGTTTCTGTGAAGACTCTGGCAAAGGAGAATTTCAGGGTTGATCCTTCCCTTGGTCTAAAAGAAAACAGAGAACATCAAAGGGATTTCATTTCAGAACCTGTAGGTGTGTTTTGCTGCCTTGACTTGGTGGAGATGCACTCTGCACACACTGCAGTTACACGGAGGAGTATTCTGGTTTCATACATTTTGTGTGGCCTTCTCTGGTTTGATACTAAATGTATTCTAGTATCAATGTTGTCTTTCCTATCACTGGTGATGATGGTTCTTTCTTGTTTAAACCCACGTACTTGTTTTGGTTTTATTTTCTCGCAAAGCTTTGTATGCTGAAATAGGAAGCAAAAAAACCCAAACCACCCCACTAATTGGGAGGGACTAATAAGCCTTACAGACACAAACACTAGCTTAAGTGAATGAATTACAGATATGTATATATCTTTCACTGTTTTAAATAAAACTACTGTGGTGTTGTTAGATCCTTTTAAAGTTACTGTAGCTTTCTTTGGAATCGTCCATGTGAAAGCACTCACTAGAATTTTTACTCTGTGGCTCTTCGTTGTGCATTTTCTTACTTTTCTGATTGAAACTTAGGCCTTGTTAAATGTAATCGCCTTGCATGGATTTCATCTGCAGCTCGGTTGCCACCTTTTGAATTTTTTTCTTTTGCAAGTATCTTGCTGTACATTAAATTTTCCGTATTTTTTTTTTTTGTATTTAAGGTCCTTCACTTGAAAATGATTCTATTTCCTGCCCCAGATTTCATTTCATGCCACGATTTGTGAGATTTCTTCCAGGTAATTTTTTTATTATGTAGTTTTATGGAAATTAGAACTAAAAATCACCAAAAATAAACCTCTAACCCCTCTACCTCCCCCGACTCCCCCTCACAAAAATAAAAAAACCCACCAAACCAACCAACCAACCCAAACCAACTTACTGCAAGTCAAATGATTCAGTCAGTGGAGCGATCTGGTGCTTCCATCTGAAGCCTTTAGTGCTTGCTGGTAGTGTGGAAGGTTTACTCAGAACTGGGATTCAGGTGGACAGGCCAAGTCTTGCTTCCAGCTTTTCTCTCTGATGTGGTTATTTTAGGCAGTGCTGGCTCATCCTTGTCCTGCCCTGTGATGGAGCATTTGAGGAGTGCTATTACCTAATCTCACACCTGAAACTGAATTCCATGTCTCCTGCTTTTCAGGATGCTGTGTGATTATATCAAAATTCTTGATGTGCAATCTTGAGGGTCAGCATGATTGGCACCCCTGAGCACATGCTGTTCTGATTGTTCCTTTCTCTACTGCAAGCTTAGACCTTGCAGCAAATGGTGAAAGACAGAAAACACCATTCCAATGCAATTCAACCCTAGCCTGCCAGCCAAGGACAAGCTTCAGCGTGGTGCATTGCACTCGTGTTGAGTGAACAGCTTACGCAGGCATTTAACACATCCTGAGACATTAGGACAGACTTTCAGTTGATGTAAATGTCATAGCTCTATTGAAGATGTGTCCTGCTGAGATCCTGCCGGTGATTGCTCCAGGAGGGTTGTGTGGACAGGAGGATGCGTCCAGGATGGACTGGGCGTGCAGATGAGACAGGGAACAATCTTCATCAAGAGAGCTGTGGCCTGGAGGTGTTTTCTGCTCTGGGCTTTGCAACTTAGTTGGGGTATTAATTATAGTTGTAGCTAAATGAGGTTTGGCTCGTTATTGTGGAGAGTACTGATGGCTAGATGACTATATTTCTAACTGTTGTTCCTTCCTGGATACACGGCACTGTTCAGTCAGAAGCAGAGCTCTGAGGCTTGCTAACAAACACTGATTTGGTTCTGCTGAAGCAATTTACAAAATAAGCCATCAAGCCACATGTGGCTGATTAACTTGACCTCATCGCAAAGTGAAAAAACAAGTTTGACCTGCCTGGTTTGTGTAGCTTGAGGATGTTTTCCTGTATTTTGGGTTTTTTTTAATATTCTGATTTGTTTCATTTTAGTTTAGAAGTCAGCTCTTTCTGTGCTCTTGGATTGTTTACTGATAGGAAGAGATACGTCTCTAAAACATGTATTCCTGTGTGCTGCTTCTTTAAGGTTCCCAGCCTTCTATCTCTTTATAAAAGATGTCTTTTTCCTGATATTTCTGCATCTATATTTGGCTTTTACCATCTTTGACAGATTTTTTTTTTTTTTTAATCAAGTTTGCATTTAGTATTGATTATTCTTTGAGATATCCTTGAACATTTTTAATTTCCAGAGAGTGGGAATCTATATCCTTCAGGTATGTTTGCAAAACATTATTTATCTGTGTCTAATCAAAGAAGACATATTGGTGCAACAGATCTCTGCACATCCATCAAATGTCTCTTTAAAGGTAGAAATGAATTAGTGATTTCCCATCCCCTCTGGTTTTCTTTCTTTCTTCTTTTTCTGACATGGTCTAAAAACAGGAAGTCTGGGATGTCAGGTTTTCTACGTGGATTACTTAGAGATGGGCCTTGGGGTAGCTCTGAGCTTGGAGCCAATCATACTGGGTTTACTGAGTGCCAGAGGCGCACAGCACGCGGAAGAGTTGCTGTATTGTATTCATTGTCATAGATTTTTATGATGATAAATATATTAAGAAAGTGAAAGACTAGAAAAAACCATCTGAGGTCCCAAGTACTGTGTGTTCTGACCTAGGAAAGGTCAGGTGTCTAACCATTGTTTAGCACAGCTGTCTGCAGCAACCTGTACCCGTCCTGTATGCAGTCTTTGGGGAGTAAGGCTACACCTTTTGGTTTTTTTAGTGATTGTTGGGCACGGGCTACCTCCTGTGTGACAGCGTAATCTGGTTGTTGATGAAGACAAGAGTCTTGGAAACTGAATCCCCCTTAATTTGAAGGGGGGAAATTTTGAATGTTGCACATGTAAAAAAAATGTCCTGTAGCTATTTGGAAATACTGTCTAGTGAGGTTTGGGGTGTATTTTCCACATTTAAGATTGCCTCTTGGAATATGAGTGAGGTTATTTGTTCTAAGAGGCCAAGTGATATCACTCCCTTTCATCTTTTCTGTACCATGGTGCTGTAATCCCGGCTGAAGTAAGAGGAGCGCTTGTTCCCTCTCATGCCTTGCAGAGGAGATCATCTTACGCAGCACCGCTGTTACGGGGTAGTTCAGTGGGGCTTTTCTCCTGTTTGGTCACATTCCTTGTGCGTGGTCCCCCATATTGCTCTAAGGCTTTGCTTCTGTTTTTTCTCCATTCCTTTTTTTGTGTGTGCAGTGATGGAGGGAATGTACTCAGTGGCAGGACCAGGTTGCTCCTGCTCCCTGAGGAAGGGAAATCAAGGTTGGTGCTCTGAGAGGATGAAACTTGGAGACAGCTCTGTTGGCGTGTGTCAGAATTAAAGCACTGGAGTAACATGTCTGTCTTTTTACTCACATGAGCAGACGTACTGAATTTGAACAGCCCGTGTGTGGTGGTCTGTCAGGACCGTCACTCGTCTTTCCTGTTTGCATCTTCACATCTGTAACTGGCTACCTGGAGCCAGTCAGTTGTTTACTGTACTGTCTTCTTTTGTTACAAGCAGCCTTTGCTGTGTGTGTTTCCTGGGGTCTCAGTAGTATTTAGCAGTTTTCACGTGCCTTTGATTCATTTAGTGATAGAAGGCAGCATGAGGCTCCTTAGTCTTCATTAGTGCAGGTTGAGCGTGTAAGCACTACAGACAAATTTAAAATTATAATTTGCTACGTTCATCCAGGAGTATCCTGTAAAATTTTGAGTGTTCTTTAAAAAAGCTGCATAAATGCCTAAAGGCTTTTTAACTACCGTTGTAAAAAGAATGATAGAAGTGTGAGAAGGAAGATATTACTGGACAATGTAACTGATTGTTCTGCCTGCTCATTTTGAAGTTTCTTCAGGAAAGTTAGTAACTTCAGCTTTACAGTGTGATGAAACTGTTATTCTTGCTACCATTACCGTTATTGCTTCCAGTCCAGCGGGGTGTTTATGCGTGTGCAGTATTCATCTATTCATCAATAAAACATTTGCCTTCATATTTGTCAAGTCGCTTAAGCATTTTGCATTTTATTTTGCTCATCCAAAGATTTTGTGTTCTGCATATTTTCTCTTTTGCTCATGCTTTAGGACTGAATGTCTGAAATGTGTTTTATTTATTTATTTATGTTTTTAAGATGGAGGAAAGGAAGTACTCTCAATGCATCAAATTCTCCTCTACTTGTTACGATGCAATAAAGCTCTGGTGCCTGAAGAGGAGATTGCCAACATGCTTCAGTGGGAAGAACTGGAATGGCAGAAATACGCAGAAGAATGCAAAGGGATGATTGTTACCAGCCCTGGCATGGTAGAGCGCATAATTCTGATTTATAAACAGCCCAATGACACGTTACATGTCTTGTTTCAGAGGGTTTGCTATAGGCCTAATGGGAAAGGGAAAAGATAACCAGTGACAGTTACAGATTGCTATAGGAACAGTTCATTGACTTGTTACAACCCTGCAAAGAATTGCACCCTCTGCTGCTCTACTGAAGGGCAGATTTCCAGATGAGCACTGTTTCAGTGTCTGCATTAAAAGGAATGGCTGCATTTTATGTATGTGAAACTGTAGTTTGCTCCTCTGCTTTCTTATTTTCTCAGTCTTCATGCGCATGATCTCATTCTCTTTTCCTTGACACAGGACCAGAGAATTAGTAACTATTTGCTATTTTCTTTCATCTTCCTCTTTTGACCCCTCCTAGCTCTGTTTAAAGTGCTCTATCTGGATTCTGCCCTGAATACAGAAGAGGTGCTTTCTGCCAATGTGATTTTTTTTCCACACTGTTTCTGTGTTGCTCTCACACTGAGGAATTTTGTGTACATTAATGAGTGCATCCATTAATTTTCACTTCCAAGCTTGAAACCCTTATGGCCTTATTATTTTTGGAACAATCAGTGTTTTAAAGCATGTGTTCTTTGAATTTCAGTACTAGTGTTTATGTAAATTTAGCCCACTTTTCTGACTTTCACACGTGAAAAATGTGGGTCACAAGAATCCATGTGTGCACTAAAAGCTGCAGGGTTCTGTTGCCATGGTTTGGTCAGTATCGCAAAGCGGTATCTCAGTATTAGAGGCGTGTTTTGGACCTAATATTCTAGACAGGGATGCAGCATTCTCGGTTTTAACACCTTTCATTCTCTGACTTCATTTCCCTCCTTTGCTCATAGCTCAACTTTTGGCTTCTGCAGAAAAAGTGCAACTTGGTATCGTGCCTAAGGGTAAATTTAGTTTGCTGACTGAAACACCAGTCCCCAAACTGCAGCCAGGGTGACTTCCTAAATATGTTTTTCAAGTTCATATTTTTCAAGTATGGCAGCATTACATGGAGTGAACCTTATAAGCTGATCATAACTTGGGCAGGGCCATTTATTTTTCCCTTGATTTCATGCTGACTGTTTTCATTCTGATTAAAACTTTCTGAACTGAAAGGAAAATATGATCATCTGTGGGAAGATGAAAGGCAGAATACACATCTACTCTCACTATGGAAAATTCTACCCGAGCCGGTTAAAACTGAGTACTAAACCGGAATCTCATAACAGAAATTGTTAGACAGCCATAGCTGTTTAACTTAACGTTGCCTGTGGTTTCTGTGATACAAGGTACATGCCAGCGCGGAAATCAGCATCTGAATGATATATGCTGACATAACTTTGGTGGTTTTGCTGAAGATTCACTGATTTTCAGATAGCTGAAAACTTGCTTTTTTTGTTTAACATGAAGGAACGCGTCTATGCTCCTTCCTTGTGTCGTTGAACTGTAAATGTCTGGTGGCACACGGCAGTGCAGTTTCTGAGTGGTGGTGTTAATGTTGAGATTTTGTGTGATTTTTTACTGACAAGCTTTGCTTTCTACAAGACAATGTTTTTAGAGGTTTGTGTGGACATCATAATATGTAAGCATAAAAGAAATCTGCAGCACTTTGAAATGCTGTCATGTTATAATGCCATCATTATAACGTGGGTTTTCTCCCAAGAAGATTGCAATGACTTTCTTCTCAGTTTGTGGATTCTTTTTCTGCTCATTGCCTCATGTCCTATTGAGTATGAAAGTGTTTTCTATGCTTTTTGCGACATTAGAAGATAAAGCAGTTTTGTTATAGAGACAATGTGAAACTGTATTAGAAAATGACAGCTCTTCAATTTCATCCACTTGACACAACAAAGTAAAAATACTAAATTTTATTTTACTGCTTTCCTCTACAACATCACTTCAGAAATAATAATCCCTCTTGTGAGCAGATCTGAGTTTTATATATCTATTATATTTTTTTTTTAGAAGTGAGATGTACATTTGCATGATGGAGAAGGGAAAAAAATTGATGGGCATATAAATCTCATTTACTTAAATAATCCTGAACTATTGCTGATTGTTTAAAACCATTTAATTTAGACATGGTGATTCATTAGTGCATTGAAACTTTGTGTTGGAATAGATTTAAAGGTTGACAAATTTTAACCCTTTTAAATGTTTCACTCTTTCTTAAGTATTGCTGCTTTTCTCACTGGTACAAATACATGTATTTTAACATACTTTTCTACTACATCTCTGTGCAACCTCATCATGTCTTGTACTATCAGCAAAGCCTTGTTTGATGAGGTTTGGAGTAGGAAACAGTGAAAATGGGTCTCTGTTCTGTTAGAGTTTCTTTGGTCTTGATGAGATCTTAAAAGCAAGGTTGTGATTATTAGGTGGCCTCTCAGCACTTCTTTTAAAAGAACACAGGGATAAAAATCTGGAAGAGTAAGGTCGAATTTGCTTGCGTGCTCTCTGCCCATGCCCAGGTTGTGGTGTATGTTCCCCCGTGGTGCCGTTTGTTCGTTTAACCCTCCGAATCAGCAGCAGAGAGGAAAGCTGGTGTTACTGTGCCGAAGGAAGAGAAGCACAGCCCAGCTACAGCCCTCTCCTAGCCCTCAGTGAAGGAACAGTTGTGATTGTCTTGAGCAAGGACTTCTTTTGTCCTGGTTGTTATCAGGCGTCCGTGAACAGCTCTATGACTGAGTGACAGAACTCAAAGGCAGTGGTGTATGAATGAAGAGAAAGAGTCTGGTTTTGAGTGATCCCAAAGCCACACGTTTCACACAGACCCCGCTGCAGGCGTGTGGAAAGCCCTTCTCCCTTTCACACTTCAGAGGATCAGATTCCTTCTATTGAAGTGTCTAAAATGTGAAACAGTTGAATAGGATAATATTGTCTGTAATTTTCTAAAATGTATTGCATATAATTGGTGTATTAATTATTGTTTCACGTTCTGTTAGTCGTATTTTGCCGCCTTGGTTCTCACAGTTGTGTAGCAAGGCTGGTTTTTTTGATGGGGATGGGAGAAGTTCCTCATTTTTAGTGTTAACAGGGGGGAGAACCAAAAAGCAACTTTTGTGAAGATAAAAATTTTTAAAATTGGCTTTGTGCAAACCCCACAAAACTGGATAAACTTAAATTTCAGGACTTTAAGGAACTGGTTTAAGGAACAACATTCTGCCTCCTACAAATCCTTGCTGTGTTTTTCATTACATTTTCTTGTC